GGGGAGGGTGGGGGTGGGGGTCCGGAGCCTCGGGTCGAGCTGTCGTGGTCCCCGCGGTAATAAAAGCGCGGGGGAGAGAGGAGGGAATCCCTGCTAGCCTGCCTCTCATGGGGCGGGGTCTCGTCTTCCTGCTGGGTAAAGATTTCTCCAGGAAAACTATGAAGCACCAAGAGGTGTTCCGGACTCTGGGTCTGTTCAGTTCTTTTCGTTGAAAATGGACTGCCCATAAGCTCGAGAGCAAGGCCGTGCCGCTCTGGCCGACTCTGGAGGTGCTGGGGACGTGGGCACTCGCGGCCCGTGCAGGGCCACGGGAGCAAGTGGCGCGTCTTCTTTGAGGATTTAGGACATTCAGGGAATGAGGGGCAGGGGAGACTGTAGGGACTACTAGTTTGCCATGCGAGCTGGAATTTTCCAAGTCTGTGGGTTTTATAGGGATAGGCGGGGACCCACGCGGTCCCTATTTTGATTAAGTAATATACCCTCCCACCAGCCCTAGAGAAGAGCGGCAGATATTAGCGGGATATTTACATTTCCAGGCTGCCTTGCCGGGCCTGGTGTTGAGGCAGCCCCCCGGGGTCCAGAGCGCTAGGTTCAGGGCTCGTTCTCACTCAGCAGTCTGTCCTATAATTGGTTGTTTCACTGGTGGTTTGTGGCCAGGGTTGGGTGGTACTCTGGCCCTTGGCCATTCTCTGAGGTGGAGGGTCTCAGCCACCTATGGGCCAAATGGGGCCTTGACAGAGGAAGAGTAGTTTTGAGAACAAAATCGGTAAAAGAAGGGAGAGCGCATCTCTTTCGGGAGCTCTGGGGACAGAAGAGGGAGATGAAGCTGCAGAGGTGGGCAGGAGGCCAGGAGTGAGAGGCCCTCCACGCCATGCAGAGAAGTTGAGAGTTCATCTGGTAGGGGGTGGAGGGGAAGTCATTGAAGAATCCTGCACAGACTTCAGTGTTGGAAAGATCCCTTTGTGTCTTTCAGGTGGACAGGTCTGTGGTGAGTCGGGAGGCAGGGCCTGTTGGCCTCGGAGGGAGAAGTGCAGGATGGGAGGAGACAGAGGTACTTCTCAGGAGCCCTAGTGGCAGGAAAGCAGCTGGGCCGCTGAAGCTGGGTGGACACCTTGGGTGAGTTCTCCTCACCTTGGCTTGTCACCTGAAATAATCCCACCTGGCGGCACTGCCGGGAGAGCAACAGTAAGTGTCTGCATAGGGCCTTGGGTCAAGGTCTTGATTGTGCCTCCTTGTGGCTCTTGGACCGTGTTGCCCTCATGAGGGCGGCTGCTGGGGCTTTGCTCTTCACATGTCTGCCTCTGTTAGTGTTTCTGTCAGGGCTGTCCCTCTGTTTATGAAGTGCCAGGATTAGGTGGGTGTCCAGTAACTTCCTCCTTTCCTAGGGGAGCAGGGGAATGTGACCATGCGATGATAGATACCAGATCTAGAAAGGATTCAGACCCGAACAGTTGGACATGATTTGTCCTGAGGTTGCTTCCACATCCGAGAGACACTGAGCAGTGGTCCTTGGAGTTCCTGCCCTCCTGCCCAAAATACTGGCAAGGATGTGGGTGCTGGTGGCTCCCTTGCAATTCTAGGAGCAGGGTGATGGAGTGGCATTCCGAGGGGCAGTTATGCTCTTCCAGACTTCCCCCGCTCCGTGAGTGGTCACACCCCTCTTCCAGCCCTGAGGCCTTCTCTCCTACCCTGATCCTCCACATTCCAGCAGTCATTGTGTTTAGCTAGCTCTGAGCATGTTCATTTTTCTGGCTTTTGGCCAGTACCTGCACGACTGCCTGGGGCCAGCCCCTCACCCTCCCCTGCGTCTGGGCGGTGGATTTCCAGCTTCTGTGACAGATGATCCCTTCCTGGGAGCTTGATCTTTTTCTAACACGTCACTATCATTTTGTTCAAGTGGGCCAGCAGTTACTGCATGCCTGCAGTGAGCCAGGCAGCGAGGCTTCATAGTGCTTTGAAGAAGAGCTTTGAGAGACATATGGGCAGGAGCCATAGACATTATAGGCCAGAAAGACACAAGTGACTGTAATACCACACGTTACATCATAAAATTGCTTCCATTTGGTATTAAACATAGATGTATAAAAAGTTTTCCCTTTTGGCCTTTTCCTTTTGAGTCACAAATTAAGCCAGTTGGAGAATATGCCTGGTCGGGGTCTTTGGTCAGAGCCCTGGCAGGGCAGGAGAAGCCACAGCAGTGAGATTTCAGCAGGGAGTGCATCTCTGGGAGGTGCAGACTTTCCTGGGCTGGATTCTGCTGAGCCAGGCTGCATGCTGTCACCAGATGGTCCCTGACAACCCAGACTCATCCGGGCTGGCAGGACGGTTGAAGACCACAAAACCACGAGTGCACACCACCTCCTAAAATGCCCAGAACCCGTCTGAGGCCTCACTTGGCTGTCTTGTTCAGAGTAACCTCAGATAACTCACGTGCAGGGTTATTTGGTATCTCTGACTGACTTCACTGGATTTTCTATAAATCATCCCATCATTTGCACTTAGGAAGGGGTGGAATTTTTTTTTTTTAAGCAGTTTTATATATGAGGATTCACATGTCTTTCCAGTTTTACAAGGAAAAGTCAGTTTACATGTTATTCAATATTTTAAAATATAAAACTAATTCTTGCAAGTAAACTTGTCAAATTATTTTAAAGCACGTACCCCTATATAAGAATTCAACTCTGGCATTAAGCATTATTACATATTTTTAACACTGGGACAGAAAGGTCGAGAACAGTGCTGGACAGAAGTCTCTGAATCCCTACTCCTGGACAGAGGATCCAGTCATTGGCATCCAGGAGACTGATGTCCAAGAGAGAGCAGATGACTTGGACTGAAAACCAGCCAGCTCCATCTCATTCACAAGCAATGCTTGCTGAGAGTCTTGTGTGTTTACACCATTCATGCATTTGAACTGAATGTTTTAATGTGGCATTCAGGGCCGTTCCCTTCCCATGCTGCCCCTCTCTGACCTGCTCTGTTTGGATTCTTATTATTTCTCAGAGCTCATTTTCACATCTAGTCAAAAAAAGTTTATTCTTGAGTTTTCTTTGCTCACCAGGAACCTGTTCCCACCTCCTGACCCTTTGGCCCTACTCTGGTCCCTGCCAAGGATGCCTCCCACACTCCCCACCCCAACCCCTTCCCTGTTGCTCCCTTCTCTATCTCGTCCTTACCTCTCCTGGCACTGTTCTGTTTTTGTTTTGTTTTATTATTATTATTTTTTAACTCTTCTTGCTTCCCAGTTAGGTGGTTAGTTCCTCCATCAAAGCCCATCTTGGGGGCAGGGATGTTGCTGCTCTGCCAGCATCTTGTCTGAGGAGCAAGGAGGAGTGTCCCTTCCCAGCTTTAGTCTGACCTTGTTGCATCCTGTTTCTCATGTGGTTTTTACGTAAGGCATCTTTACTTTTGTGCTCCACCATGTAGAACCAGCTGTGTCGGGAACTAGGAAGAATTTTGTTTTCTTGTGACTCTGTCCTAGCAAAATTATATTATCCAGTTGTTCTGGTAGAGACTCATAAAAGGATTATCTGGGTTCCAGTAATAATTGAATTCAACAATTCAAATACCTGAATGGTTGCAGAGCTGGGGCCTGTGAAGGGATTATACGTAGCCATTTTCATGCTAGGCTCTTCTCCCTAAGAGGATCTGCAGGGAGCTCAGGGGCCTTCTTTAGGCAGTCCCCAGGATGGCCTGCAGCTAAGACAGCTCAGGCTGGACCAGACCGAGGGTAGTTTGATGCTGAGCCTGTGTGGCTGTCATGGGGACTTTTCCTTTAGGAGAAATGAAGTATGGGGTCTGTGCATCTGTGGCTCATGAAATAACCCCTAATCCAGGCATATTTATTTTACATGATGAATGTAGTGGTTAAAGGGATGGGTGTTAGAATAAATTCTGACATCTGTCTAACCTGGAGTTGGCCAGCTGACCCTCAGTTTCTTCATCTGTGACATGGAGCTAATGATACCTGTGGTTATTGTGAGCATTAGTTATAGTTATTTATCTATAGTTATTGTGAACATTAAAATGGGATGAGGATGTATAGACGTCATCACAGTGCCTGACCAAGGATGCTCTCAAATGGTGGCTGTTTTTAACATTAGCTATAAGGAATAGAATTCATAATGCACTTATGCATACTGTTCTGGTTTTTTCCCAAAGAGGTGTTTGGGAATACTGTTACATAATGAGAAAGTAATTCAGTTTTTCACTCATATTTCATTCATCTGATTGTATCAAGGGTAAGTTTACTTGATGCTCTTTAATAGTTGCTAATTTTCTTCTTTTAATGAAGAGAAGAGGCCTCAGGCTCAAGTTCAGAACCTTTGGCAGGCAGTGGTATGTAGCCAGATTTTAAATAATGTCAATTGGATTTATAATTCTTAATTTTAAGATGATCTTAATGGGAAGTGATACTATTTTTTCCATTTGAAGTAGTAATAAGGGTTCTTTTACAAATAAATTTTAAATGGGAGTAGGTGTTTAAAGGAAAATGTCAAACTTTAACAATAGGGCCATTGTGTACAACTGTACAGGTTATTTATTGCACAGGTGTCCTGCCCGGGGGAGGAGAGGTGTTGGCAAACTAGGCTGATATATATAGCCTATGCGTTGCTTACTAAGCCATGTGCTCTGGCACAGGACTGTACCTACTGGGAAGATGGGGTGCCTTTTTGTAATTCTCACAAAGGCACCATGTGGGCTAGCAGAAAGTGGCGATACATTGGTGTGCAGTGTAGCAAAAATAGTGAAGGTAGCATGTAAATGGGAATCCTGCAAGACAGGTATTCATATTCTCCATTGTACAGACTAAGATGGAGGCTCAGAGAGGTGAAATGACATGGCTAAAACTCTGACTTCTTTTCTGTGCCCATTTTTCATATTCCTCTCTCACAGTTCAGTAAAACCACACTGATGTATGGTAAGGGGAGCAGACCAGGGGCATTGGAGGCCCCATTCACAACAGGAGCAAATCTATACAGAATATATAAATAATGTCTAATAAAAGTTTTATATGATCTATGGTCTTTAATGAAGAAAATTTAATTGGAGGACATAAAAGAGGATGAAGGTGGAAAGACATACCATGTTCATGGATGATAAGATTCGTTATTATAAAGACATTGGCTCTCCAGTCCATAAATTTAGTACAGTTCCAATAAAAATCCCAATAGGAATTTTCATGGAATTGATAAGCTGACTCTAGTTCATGTGATATCATAAAGAATTAGGAATAACCAAGTAATTTTGGAGAACAAGGGGAGAGGCCTTCCTCTATGAGATGTCAAGGCTTATTATGAAGCTGTAGTCATGTAAATGAATGTGGTCTGGCCCTTCCCCATCCATTGTAATAGCTACTAGCCACATGAGGCTATTAAGCACTCGAAATGAGGCTAGTATGAATTGAGGAGTAAAATACACATCAAATTTTGAAGAGTTAGTAGAAGTAAAAAGAATGTAAAATATGTCAATAATTTTAAAGTATTGATCACATGTTGGAAATGTATTTTGGCTGTATTAGGGTAAATAAAATATACAATTTAATTTCACCTTTTTAAAATATGGCTACCAGAAAAATTTAAATAACATGTAGTTATGCATAATGTATATGTAATTACCTTTCTCACATAAATTTGTTGGATGGTGCTGGTCAAGACCATTGAAACAGAATAGAGCCCAGAAATAGGCCAAACATATATGGGAACTTGGAGTATGACAAAGGTAGCATTATCAGCTAGTGTGAAAGGGATAAAATATATAAAAGATGACAGTGGGACAGTTGGCTTATGCTATGGACTGAATGTGTCCCCCCAGCCCCAACCCAAATTCATATGTTGAAGCCCTAATCCTTAATGTGATGGTATTTGGAGATGGGGCTTTGGGTTCTAACTGGGGTTAGATTAGGTCATGAAGATGGGGCCCTAATGATGGAATTAGTCGCCTTACACAAAGGGGAAGAGACAAGAGAACTCTTTCTCTGCCATGAGGATACAGTGAGAAGGTGGCCATCTACGGTACAGGAAGTGGGCCCTTACCAAGAACCAAATCTACTAGCACCTTGATTTTGGACTTCCCAGTTTCCAGAACTGTGAGGAATAAATGTTTGTTGTTTGAACCCCCCCAGTCTGTTGTATTTAGTTATCAGAGCCTAAGCAGACTAAGATAGCTTACCTTCAGAAAAAAATTAAATTAGATGCCCAATTTATAGCATATATAAAAATAAAGATGATTTGAATACCTAAAAATGAAAACCTTTAAGATTCTTAGAAATTACAGGGACTATTTTTGTGGCCTTGGAGTTGGAAAGGATGTGGTTTCAGGTAGCCTTTGCTGCATAACCAACCAGCCCCCAAATTAGTGACTTAAAACTGCTACAATTTATTATGTCCTATTAATCTGTGGGCTGGCAAGGTGGTTCTTCTGCTAGTCTCACCTGGGCTCCCTCATGTGGTTGTATTCAGCTGGTGGGTTGGCTGTCCTCACTGGACTACCTGGGCCTCTCTCTCCCCACATGGGTTTTCATCCCATGGGCTTCTCCATTGCATGGTGGTCTCAGGGTGCCAAACGAATGAGAGTGAAATTTGCAAGGCCTCTTTAGGTTGATACTCAGAAACCACAGAGCATCAGTTCTGTCTGTTGGTTAGTTAAAGCAAATCACAGGGATGGCTTAAATTCAAGGAGTGGGGAAATAGACCTCACCTTCTCAGAGGGGGAATAGTGAAGTCAGTTTACAAAGGGGCATGCCAAGATGATAGATAGGCTTTCCTTAGATCCCAAAAGCACTGACCAGTAAAGGCAAAGACGGACAAGTTCAATCACGTTAAAATCAAGCACTTTTTGAGAGAGTGGCATGGACATATACACACTACCAAATGTAAAATAGATAGCTAGTGGGAAGCAGCCGCATAGTACAGGGAGATCAGCTCGGTGCTTTGTGACCACCTAGAGGGGTGGGATAGGGAGGGTGGGAGGGAGACGCAAGAGGGAGGGGATATGGGGATATATGTTTATGTATAGCTGATTCACTTTGTTATACAGCAGAAACTAACACAACAATGTAGAGCAATTATACTCCAATAAAGATGTTAAAAAAAAAATCAAGCACTTTTATGTCTGAAAACACCCAGTAGGAAAAATGAAGAAACAAGTCACAGATTGGGAGAAGATATTTGCAACATCTTTTGGTGTCCAGATATGTAAAGAGCTACCAATCATAAGAAAAAGGCCAAGAACCCATTAGAAGAGTGGTCAAAAGACATGATAAGGTAATTTATAGAATGTAAGGAGATGATGTTCCACTTCATTAGAGAAATGAAAATTAGAAACAGTGAAATACTATTGTATACTCAGACTGGCAGAAATGAGCTAGCCTGACGTTACTAAGAAGCGTTGGCTAGGATGTGACATGAAGAAGGGAAATGCTCATGGACTTTGCATGGAGGTTGGAAGTGATCCAGCATTGTCAGCATCTGGGGAAGGTGCAGGTGCATGCATGCCGCAGTGTCTCTCCTAGCAACATTCCTGGATATGTGCTCCAGGAACACGTAAGGGTACAAGAGCGTTCATTTTAGCATTGTTTTTAATTCTGAAAATGTGGAAGCAACTTAAGTATAGGACAGTAGATAAATTGTGTTATGTTCACTTAATACTGTACAGCAGAAATTAGTGAATGAATGGGAGCTGTATGGATCAGCACGCCTAGAACTTGAAACCATAATGGTGATTGAAAAGCATATGTTCCAAACTACTTGTAGTGTGATACCATTTATGTAGATTTTGGAGCCCATAAAACAAGACTTTAGGACTTCTCTGGTGGTTCAGTGGTTAAGAATCCGCCTGCCAATGCAGGGGACGTGGGTTTGAGCCCTGGTCTGGGAAGATCCCACATGCTGTGGAGCAGCTAAGCCTGTGCACCACAACTACTTAGCCTGCGCTCTAGAGCCCGAAAGCCACAACTACTAAGCCTGCGTGCCACAACTACTGAAGCCCGCACACTTAGAGCCCGTGCTCTGCAACAAGAGAAGCCACCACAATGCGAAGCCCGTGCACCACAACAAAGAGTAGGCCCCGCTCGCCACAACTAGAGAAAGCCTGTGCACAGCAACAAAGACCCAACACAGCCAAAAAATAAATATTTTAAAAAACAAGATTTTATATTATTTATGAATACATGAGTTTAAAAAGGAGTACAGACATGAGCAAGAAGGATATAGAAACCACTTCAGGATAGTGGTTGCCTCTGAAAGGGGAGGAGAGAATGGGATGGGGAGGGGCACATGGGGGATCCAGTCTGCTCTGATATACTTTATTTCTGAAAAGAAAATCTGAGGCAAATATGGCAAAGTGGTAAGATTCTGTAATTCTGGGTGGTAGATTAGCATTATTACTCTATGGTAAAAATATTTCATTAAAAACATGCATATCTTTAAGATGTTATAATTTGAGTCATGTATGATGTTCTAAAAACAGTCATTTTTTACTTTTGCAGTGACTTGGAGTCAAGAAGATTTTCTGAGCATAATTTATACATTTAACCTGTAAAAAAAGTCATCTTGGAATTGGTGGGTTATCTTTGATCTTTCCTGATGGCGTGTTAGGTCTGTAGTGTAGAGTAATATGTGTCAGGGATGCTTTTTAGAAAGTGTTAGATCAGGACTTTTATGTGTTAGGTCATTCTGAAAGTGGTCATTTACTGCTTTTTCCTCTCTCGTCCCAGGAGACTCTTTTTGCCCCATCTGAAGTCCATATGGCTCTGTATGATGAGGACCTCCTGAAAAATCCCTTCTATCTGGCTCTTCAAAAGTGGCGTCCTGACTTGTGCAACAAGGTGGCCCAAACCCGTGGCATTGTAAGTGCATCGATCCCAAGGGTGGTCCTTCTCCACTAGGCTTGGACCGAGCATTGCTGACAAGGCCACAAATATGGTAGACTTCAGTTAAGTTTAGAGGGAGTCAGGTACAGGCCTGCCAAGTGCACCAAGCCCCAGACCATGCTCGGTATGTGAATGAGCAGAGAGGGACCGCCCCAAGCTGCTTCCTCCAGGCAGCCTCCTGGGACTGCACCAGCCCAGGGTGTAATCCTTTCTCTGAATTCTCAGCCCCTGTTGTCACTGGTCTCACGGTATTCACCTCTGTTTCTCTTGTTTCCATGGGGACCAGGAGGGTTTCTCCAGGGCAGAAATTGCATTCCTCCTCGTCTGTGAGATGGGTGCTCACTCCCATAGGATAAGGGAACGTGTATACACACACATGTATGTCGCCTTCAAAGGTATTTCCTAAAGAGAAAGAACCGAGAGAACTTTTGTAATAGAGGCCACAACCTCAGAAGCCTACAGGAGCAGCCAGGGAACAGGAGCAAGAGAAGGGAGAAACCATAGTCTGCTGCCTGGAGGGAGGGCAGGCCCTGTGCTGCAGGTCTTTTTGGTTCCCAGATTGGTGAACTTGGCAGGCATCTTACTTACACACCGTGGGACACAGCGAGCTGGGTGCCTTTGTGCCACCCATCTGCCTCGGGCCCTCTTCTTTTCCTACGTTGTCCTCTTTTCTTCTCCTACTTGTGTTCCTGCTTCTCTTGCCATGTGATACGATCACATGTGTGTCAGGCGGCTGAGGATTTGAACCAATGGAGAAATCAGTTAACTCGGGTTTCTCTGCAGGCTTGGAACTGGCTTTTCCCCATACCCAGTCCAACTCTCTGCCCTCAGAAGCCTGATTTTTTTTCAAGTCCCTTCTTGTTTTTATGATTGGTTTTGTGATTAATATCTTTTTCCCAGAATTTTTTTACTTTGGAGTTTAGAAGTCATAAACTTCGTTATAAAAAAATTAGAGAGTAGAGCTGTTTCCAAAGAAGAAAATAAAAATCTCATAAAGCTCACCAAAGGCATTCACTGTCATCCATTCATTTCACAGTAGCTATTAAATGCTGCTGTATGCAAGGCACTATGTTTGATGTGGGGATTCAGCCAAAACCATGAATAGGCATCATGATCTTTACCCTCATGGAGCTGAAATTCTAGTGGGAGAGATGGTCACACTGTGGATACATATTGACTAATTATGGTAAGTGTCACAGAGAAAAAGTAGCTGAAGCCAAGCCATCATGTTAAATGGGAAGGCCTGACCCAACTTGGGAAATACTTCCTTCCCGTCTTTGTTCTATGATATTTAAAAAAAATGTTGTCTAGATAAGAGTGTGTCATCATATGTAACTTTCTCTTTTAAAATGCTACACCGCGGACCCCGCAGTTCTTTCTCAGGAAGCCCTGGGGGACCTGTCTGTCTTGCTCATCACTGTGTGCCAGCCCATAGCACGGTTCCTGTTGCCCAGTAGGTGCTTTTACAGCTGCAAGTAGTGAAAACCCAATTGAGTTCACTTTAGCAAAAAGAGAATTTTGAATCACTTTGATCACCTTCCTTTCAGTTACACCGGGGAACGAGAGATGCTTCTCTTTTTTTTTGGAGCAGAAGAAGGTTTATTGCAAGGCCACGCAAAGAGGCAAGGTGGCTTGTACGCTGAAAAGCCAAAAGCCTCGAGCTCCCCAAAGGGTTTTGGCAAAGCATTTTTAAAGGAGGGCGTGGCCGGGGTGGGGCGGGGGTGTCAGATGGTATGTGATCAGCTTGTACACAGTTCTCTGATTGGCTGATGGCGAGGCAGCAGGGTGGTGTCACAGGGGTTATCTGTCCTTAGGCTCCAAGAGGCCTGGGCTATGTGCTCATGGTCCTCTAGTAGTTCTTCCATTTGGAGTGGGGGGTGTGGTTCACATCTGCAAAACAGCTCAGGAAATTTGCAGAGAGATGCTTCTTAAGTTGTGTCATCCTGCATTCCAGTGGTGCCCTAGGCCCCTTACTGCAGCCCCCACTGAGATCCATGAGAGGCTGCTTGGGGCCCGCATTGGGCAGCACTAGATTGCGGGCCTTCCTTGGCCTCGTTCGGTGGACTCGAGAATCAGAAAGGCCAGCTCCTCAGCACAGGTCAGCTGCGGGAAGGAGCTAGCTCTTGCCATCCTGCTCAGCCTGGCCAGGTGTTGGTGACTAGCCCCTGCCAACTGTTGGCCGTGTGATGGACCCCCGGCTCATCCCTGTCTAATCTGTTGTAGTGCTCCTTCCGTGTCCGTTGGTTGAATGAAAAAGTAGAGTATCCCAGTGGCCTCTAGAAGAGCGCTCATCCTTTCTGCCTCCGCTGAAGGACCCACGTGGCCTCAGCAGGTGAACGCTGAATTTCCTTCCATGGGGCTTGGCCTTTGGGCCAACTTTGGCGGCTCCTGAATCTTCCCTGGGGATTAGAGTCCTTTAGTGGGCTCTAAAAATGTGAAGTCACGACTTTTGAGTGTGTGTATCCCCAGGGCTAACTGCCTTCCCCCTTCCCCCTGCGAGCGGAGCTTGGGCCCCGCCCTCACACGCCGGCTGAGGGTGGAGGTTGGCGGGCCCCTCACCTGCCCCAGCCCCTCCCCGGGTTTGGCCGCCTTTGATGGGACTGCCTCCACATCCTCCACCATCCGCTCTGACTGATCCGTGGAGGCTCCTCTCCCAACGTCCCCCCATTCCAATCCCAGAGGCCTGTGACACTGCTTCTCATGGTCACCTGTTCTTGTAACCATCCAGCTGTTATGCACCGTGGCTTTTTCAGAGCCAGCTGGGCAGGCCTGCTGTACCCCTACGTCTCTTGTCCATGGAACTTTGGCAAAAGTTCTCTAGGTTTCATTGGTGGACTGCGGGTGGGTCCATTTGCCTATGGGAAAAACAAAAATGACAAAAGGGGATTAAATTTGGTCCTTTTATTGTGGCCCTCTAATTATGGGGTACTCAGGCTTCTGAGGGCTAGCCTGAGAACCCAGAAGCAATGGCTTCCACGTTCCAGAGAACTGACTTTCCAGTAAATACCCATACAGCTGAGCTAAGAGTGCTGAGGTCCATATTCCAGTTCTCAGGATTTGTTTAGTGTAGATTCAGGTGACAGACATTGAACATCTAGGCACTGTGCTGGGTTTGCAGGGTTACACGGATGAAAGGGGAACACAGCATGCCTTCAGGGAATCCCAGAAACAAGCCATTTGCAGCACAGAGGGATGAGTATTAGGACAGAAGTGGTCATGGGCTCCTGTGGAGTGGCTGACCCAGCCTGGGGAGGAGTCAGGAGGGCACCCTGGGGTGATAAAACTAATGCTGCTTCTTGCTTTTATTCTTTCTTTTCTTTAATGATGATTACTTATTAAAAATGTTTTATAAAGGGGCTATAATAAAAAGTTTTATTGTTAAGCTCTGAACTGAGTAGGTCCCTAACTTACGGTCTGTTTGGTCACTGTAAAGTTTGTGTCCTCCACACCGACTGTTAAAACTCCATGACCTCGGGACTTCCCTGGTGGCACAGTGGTTAAGAATCTGCCTGCAATGCAGGGGACATGGGTTTGAGCCATGGTCCGGGAAGATCCCACATGCCGCGGAGCAACTAAGCCCGTGTGCCACAACTACTGAGCCTGTGCTCTAGAGCCCACGAGCCACAACTACTGAGCCCATGAGCCACAACTACTGAAGCTCGCATGCCTAGAGCCTGTGCTCCGCAACAAGAGAAGCCACCGCAATGAGAAGCCCGTACACTGCAACAAAGAGTAGCCCCCACTCGCCGCAACTAGAGAAAGCCTGTGCGAAACAACCAAGACCCAACGCAGACAAATAAACAAACAAACAAAAACCAACTCCATGACCTCTGTTCCAGAGGTAGTCTGAACCTCCATCTTAGGAGAGCCCCCAGGCACCTGGCCCTGTCTCCGGAGGGCGGCTTCATAGCTGCTCCACCCTACTCCTCCATGGCTGGCTTCCTCACCCCAGTCTCAACAGGATCCTGGTGGAGACGGATGGGGCCACAGAGAGCCAGCCCTGGCTTGTGCTTGCAATGAAATGCCCCAGGCAGCATTGTCTGCCTGAAAACTTTGGGGGATTGCCTGAAAACTTTGGGGGATTCCCTGAAATTGGAGGCCCCCAGTGCACTCAACAGATATTGATACAGCACCTACCGTATGGTGAGCAGTGTGCTTGGTGATGGGGATTCAGTGAAGCAGGAGCCGGTCATGCCTTATTCAGGCTAAGCAGGCGGAGAAGGTGTGTGTAAACAGGCTCACAGAATGCAGTCACAGGTGTGGTGGGGACAGGGGTGGGGTGTCTCTGAAGCACCTCAGAAGTTGCTGGTCCCTCGGAGGCCCTTCCTCAGATGGGACTATGTGACTCTTTGATCCATTGAGCTGGAATGGGGCAATCACTTGGCCGGCGTAAACATCCCCTAGGCCTGGTTCATGCTGTCCCCTGGCCTGGGGCCAACCCTCGGGTTTCCAAGGTCTTTCTGTGTTCACAGCTGCCTTGAGGCCACCTAGGAACCTTGAGGCCGGTTCTCAGTTCTGGCTCATACCTGAGGGCCTCCCGTTTCTTTCTTTAAGTTGTATTTTCATTAACATTTAAAAATTTTATGTTTTTCTCCCCCATTTCTCATTCCACATCTGCTACCACCACGCCCATTCAGGACCTTTGCACATGCTTTCTTCTTCCCATCTTCCCGTAGATCTTTAGTTGGTGGTTCCTTCTCTTCATACATTCCTTGCTCAAAAGCTACTTCCTCAGAGACCTCCCTAACCACTCTACCTGAGCTAGCGAACCCCTGCCCCACTCCAGTCATTCTCTGTCCTGATATTCTGCTTTATTTTCTGCATAGAACTTACTGATATATGGAATATGTGTTTTATTATTCAGAAATCTCTATCCTCCACTTAGAATGTAATGTCCATGAGGACAAAGCACTGTATCTCCAACAGTGCCCAGTGTCATGAATATTGAATGAAGAAAAAACAGAAAAACCAAACTCAAATTTTAATAATTAGTTGAATAAAGTTGGCTATCTGAAAATTAAAAAAAAAATTATTATGTTTAATTTCAAACATGTACAAGTGGAACAAATCTTGCAATGCACCCCATGCCCCCATCGCTCAGCTTCCGCAGTGCCCGGTTCAGATGCCAGCACATCTTACTTCTATCCCTGCTGCCCTTTCCCCTTCGGCAGGGGACCATTTTGAAGCAAATTCCAGAAAATTATATAAGGTAGTCATGTGATTTCATCTGTAAATATGTAGGAATGTAGTTTTAAATGATAAGGACTTAAAAAAATAATCACATACCATTATCACAGCTAAAAAATTCCTCAGTATCTCCTTACTGTTGTGAAATGTCTAGTCACTGTTCAGATTTCCCAGATCGTCTCATAATTTTTTGTTTGTTTTCCAGTTGGTTTGTTTAAATCAGAATCCAAAGGTGATCCACGCATTATTCTGGATTGGGAGGCCTTTTTTAAAAAACTTGAAGTATAGTTGATTTACAGTATTATGTTAGTTTTAGGTGTACAGCAAAGTGATTGAGTTATATGTATATATTTTTTTCAGATTCTTTTCCATTATAGGTTATTACAAGATATTGAATATAGTTCCCTGTGCTATACAGTAAATTCTTGTTGCTTGGTATGCCTTTTAAATCTCTTTTCCTCCTAACTTTCTTGAGCTAAACTTTGAAAAGAACAACTAAACTGTACCTACTCAGTGTGTAAAACTGGATCCATTTTGACATGTGTATAGACTTGTGAAATCATCACCACAGTCTGTTTTTCCTTTTTTTTTTTTTTTTTTTTTGCGGTACACAGACCTCTCACTGTTGTGGCCTCTCCCGTTGCAGAGCACAGGCTCCGGACGCGCAGGCTCAGCGGCCATGGCTCATGGGCCTAGTCTTCGCGGCATGTGGGATCTTCCCGGACCAGGGCACGAACCTGTGTCCCTTGCATCGGCAGGCAGACTCTCAACCACTGCGCCCCCAGGGAAGCCCCCACAGTCTGTTTTTTTAACTATAAGCCTCACTTTGCTCGTTTTCCTTCTTTCCTCACACTTCAAGTATCAAGGTCATTCATCCTGTAGAGTTTCCTGCCTTCTGGCTTTTGCCAGTTGCAGTCCTGTGGTGGTGTTTACCATGGTCCTCTGGTCTCTGTATTTCCTGAACTTGGTAGTTAAGTCTAGCTCTGGGTCTGATTCAGTCTTGATTTTTTGCAGAGAGGCAAGCCCACTTCATAGACAGTTGTGATCTTCCATCAACGAGGGCCTCCCTTTTCTGCTGTGAGCAATTGGCGTATCCCTCGTGGGGAGAGAAGCTCTTTCTGACCTGCCTGAGGAAGCTCCTAATGACAGCTGCTCTTGAAGGCCCCAGAGTTTCGTGGTGTCTTCACAGAGGAAACTCCAGCAGATGCTGGGCTGTGCTCCCTGCTCCCAGCACTGGCCTCCAGGAGGCCACAGGACTGGGCTGTGGTGAGGTGGGGAACAGGAGGTTGAGTCCTGGCTCTGTCACTCACTGGCTGCGTGCCCCTGGACAAGTTGCTGAACTTCCTTGAGCCTCAGTTTCCTTGTCTGTACAGTGCGGATAGTGCAGAAGCTGCTTGCCTTGCGCCAGGCTGCTTTAGGAGCTGGGGCTCTGAGGGCCATCACCACTTTGGTCGTCATCTTCCAGGTGCACTTGAATCTGAGAGATTCCTCTTAAACGTGAGTCCCTGGGCCAAGCACAGATCCACGTGTGGTTGCCAGGGCAGCTCCTTGCCTTTGCTGCGTTGAGCAAAGAAGCTGGTGCCCGGTCAGCATGGTGGCCACGGTGGGACCAAAATTCACGTTTCAGGTTGAGCCTGCCCCAGAGACACAGTCTGGCACCTGAGACATCTCTGGTGGAGGTGGCAGCCTGCAATAGGAAACTGTATTTCTGTGGCTGGTAAAACAAACTGATCACAGTTCAGCTTAAAAAAGCATAGAAAGAAGATGGGAAGGAAACTGTCTTCATTGTGCTGCATTTATCATTCAGGTGGTGGGATTCCATGCGATTTTTTAGTTTCACTTTTCTTTACTTTCCAAACTATCGTTTCTTCATCTGGAATCATTCCTGAGCCTGCTGAGGACAGAGGGGGCCCCTGGGGTAGCTGCAGGGAGGGCCCAGCGGGGTGGGAGTGAGCCCTCCGGTCTGAGCCCCGGGATGGGAGAGGCGTGTGCTTCCTCCCTCGGCTGGGTGGGGGCCTCAGCTTCCATCTCAGTGACAACAGATCAGCTGCTGCCCCTTTGGCCAGTGACCCCAGAGGTTCTCTCTGCCAGCAGGTCCCTGTGGCAGTTCTGCTGGAGCATCTTTGGATGCCTCGTGTTCTGCTGAAGTTGTAAATGACACGTCTGTTGAGTATTCACCCTAATTTTTTTTTCCAGGTGTTAGTACCCTGCAAAGGAAGCCTGTCAGGCAGTGTTCAGTCTACTTGTCAGTTTGAGTCCTATATTTTGATCCCAGTGGAAGAACACTTTCAGACCTTAAATGGAAAGGTATTCTTTCGTTTCTTGTGGGTCAACCAGGGCCACTCACTCAGTGTTTGGGAGTGGGGGAGGGGAGAGAACCCTGCTTCTCACCCTTTCATGTCTGTGTTACATGGTGGCTTTGACACCACAGCAGCCCTGCTACCTTTGAGGGCGGAGGAGCTGGCTGCAGCCAGGAGGTGAGGCGGGGCTGGGCACCACTCCCTCAGCCCGTGGGTCTTCTGCCAGGGAGTCGGGGAGTGGCTGGGACACCTCCCCAGAGAGGCCCTGTCAGAGCAAGCTGTTTATCCCCAGTGCCCTTGGGATCAGGGATGAATTTCTAATTTAAGAATATTTTGTTTTGAAATCATCTCAAACCTATAGAAAGTTTCAGTAAGGTACAGAGAACTCTCACATACCTTTCTGCCCAGATTGGTCAACTGTTAGTTAGCATTTTGGCCACATCTGTTTTATTTCCTCACCCCTATCCCCATCTATCCATCTGTCTATCTCTCTATCTGTCTACACACACACATTATTACTTTTTCTGAACCTTTTTCAGAAAGAGTAAGAGTTGCAGACACCATGTCCCTTTGCTTCAAAACAACGTGTATTTCCTATGTAATACAGCATAGTGATCACACAGAAAATTTAGCATTGAAAGAATACGCTTCTCCAACATACTGTCCTTTTTTATCTTTTTTGTTTTTTTTGGCCGCACCCCGGCGTGTGGGATCTTAGTCCCTGACCAGGGATTGAACCCGCGCCCCCTGCATTGGAAGTGCAGAGTCTTAACCACTAGACCACCAGGGAAGTCCCAGCATACTGTCCTTCAACAAATTCTGCTAGTTGTAATACCTTATTACAGCAAAAAAGATCTATTTTTTTAGATCCAGGATCACGTCTGGGATCATGCAGTGTATTCAGTGGTTAGTCTTTTTAGTTTCCTTCCATTTGGAACGGTTCCTCAGTCTGTGTCTTTCATGACATTGACATTTTTGTCTTGCTTTGTAGACTCTCCCTCAGTGTGGGTTTCTCTGATGTTTCCCATGATTAGATCGCAGTTATGCCTTTTCAGTAGGAACGCCTCGGAAGGGTGTTTTATCTCTCTCAGTGCATCGTGTCAGGAGGCACGTGACGTCAGTCTGTCTCATTGTTGATGTTAACTTTGGGGTAGGCATTCTCTTATTTTTTTTAAGCGGAAGCAGATAGGTTCCGAGAGGGGGAGGTTCCATCCCTGGTCAGGACTGGCCGTGGTCCCCAGCCTACCCGCAGTCAGGAGTGGGGGCCCACACTGGTGTAGCTGGGGCTTTAGGCACTGGGGGCTGTCGAGGAGGGATGGGTCCAGGGGGGTGGGTACCAGTACGCCAGTCTGGGGTGAGGGGTGGTCTGCAGCCCTGTGGCTCCCAAGCATGCTGCTATTTTCCTGCCAGGGATCTGCTCACCACAGCTGCCCATCAGTTTACTTGTTCTCTTCCCGGTACCCAAATCTACCGAAAGAACAGAGGCACTGGGCTCATCGTGGCTGGTCTTCCTGGGTACCTTGGCCACAGCCAGAGTGATGAGCCATGGAGGGGATGCAGCGTGCATCCTTTGGTGCTTCTGGGTTGCAGCGTCGGGTCATTCTGATCTCTTATTCAGAGAGGAGAACCTTCTTACTTTTTCCTTTTGCGGAGGGTACAGTGCCTTTGGGTTGCAACCTGTGAAAAGGATCAGGGTACTATGTAGCTGGAGTGACCGGGTGAACAAAGAGGGAAGAAAACATTTTAGTATCAGAAAGCAAGCTGGAAGAGTGTTGGTGCCCCCCCCCCCCAAACCCTCATTGGAGCAGAGGCAGGCGGGTGGGGTGAAGTGCCGGATGGGGACCAGGCTGAGGGGTCGGCACTCACACGGGCTGCTGGTGCAGTGACGGCTCTCTTGTTCCAGGATGTCTGTATCCAAGGAAACAGGATTAAACTAGGAGCTGGTTTCGCCTGTCTTCTCTCAGTGCCCATTCTCTTTGAAGAAACTTTCTACAATGAAAAAGAAGAAAGTTTCAGCATACTGTGCATAGCCCATCCTTTGGAAAAGAGAGAGAGTTCAGGTATTCTGGGAGAAAACCCCTCTCTCCTGATTCGGAGAAACGTGCCTGTTGAACTCCTTCCTGACGCAGCTGTTGTAAACATCCCATAAAATATTCAAGAGCCCCCGCTAGAAACCCGTGTGACTGTTTACAATAATTCCCCCTAAAACTTAATCAGAAAGTCATCCTGAGCCAAGGTGACGTGGATTAGGCTGCTGTGTGTGGTTGCACACGTTGGATGTTACACACATAGACCTTAGTGGGAATGGCGCCCCCTGGCGTTGTGCAAAGTGGCAGCCCTGGCTTTGTCTCTGGGCCTCGGCTTTAGGGCTACCTCTACAGCATTATTACCCACCCAGCCCCACTGCTGTGCCTCTTTGAGATCTCATTATTTTTAACAGATAATAATTCTTCGGTGCTCCACGAAGTTGAGATAACAATTAATGTGCCAAACGCTCCTATCCGAGGCTCTTATTGTCAGGAATCAGGGCTTCCTCACCACAGCCTCACAGGTCATGCCTAGCGTCCCAGATAATTCAGGTTTGGTCCCAGGAAAGGGCTTCAAGAGGACCAGGCTCTCTGGACCCCCAGCTGGGCTGCTCTTGGGCGATATCTTGAAATAAGGTCATCCCTCTCCTCCTGTGGAAGATGGAGCGTCAGATCCTGGAGGAGCAGGGCAAAGGGTTGTGGGCCTTGCCCTGGTAGGAAACAGTGAAGCCTTCAGCCAGCCTGACCCTCTGTCTCTTTTTCAGAAGAGCCTTCAACACCCTCAGATCCCTTTTCCCTGAAAACCATCGAAGACGTAAGAGAGTTTTTGGGAAGACATGCGGAGAGATTTGACAGGAACATTGCCTCTTTCCAGCGAACGTTCAGAGAGTGTGAAAGAAAGAGCCTCCGTCATCACATAGTCAGTAGCCGTGTCTTGCTTTGCGAGGCGTGCCTTGTCTCAGGCCAGTTCAGAGCGCCAGGATCCCTCTCGGTTCACTCTGTAACTTTGCTGCCTCCATCGTTGGAAGTTTTGTTTAAATGTTTCTTTTTACCTATAAAAGTAGTACAGACGACTGTAGAAAACTTGAAAATCACAGAGAAGTATAAAAATGAATATTGTTATCATCTATGTTAACCCTAAGGGGAATTTTTTTCCTACTTTTAATGCACGTACCTAAAAAAAGTTGGAAAAAAAATCACACACTTGATTTGATAAGCTTGCTTTAGGATTTAGAGCTTGTCACCCAGGAAATCCATTTTGTGAAATGTTCTCTTTGCCCCAGGACACGTTACACGTCCCGGGTTTTGTGTCGTGGCCTCGGATCACGAGGGTGACCTCTCTTTGCTCTGTGTTGCACAGGACTCCGTGAATGCTCTCTACACCAGATGCCTCCAGCAGCTGCTGAGGGACTCCCACCTGGTAAGCAGCACGACGTTCAAAAGAGATACTTGCCAGAAAGAGAGAGACAAATAGCATATATCACTTATGCATGGAATCTAAAATATGCCACAAGTGAACCTATCTACGAAACAGAAACAGACTCAGGGACATAGAGGACAGACTGGTGGTTGCCAAGGAGGAGAGGGTTGGAGGAGGGATGGAGTGGAAGTTTGGGGTTAGCAGATGTAAACTATTATATATAGGATGGACAAACCACAAGGTCCTACTGTATAGCACAGGGAACTATATTCAACATCCTGTGATAAACCATAATGGAAAAGAATATAAAAAAAAAAGAAGGTATATATATGTATAACTGAATCACTGTGCTGTGCAGCAGAAATTAACACAACATTGTGAATCAACTAAAAAAACCAAAAAAAAAAAAAAAAAAGAAGAGAGAGAGACTTACAGTTTGCCCACATGCTAGTCCATGCTCTGTAACTGTACTCGTCTTGTCCTCCAGAAAGTGCTCGCCAAGCAGGAGGCCCAGATGAACCTGATGAAGCAGGCTGTAGAGGTAAGGGGCCAGGGCAGCGAGGGGAGAGAAGACGGCAGCGAGGGGAGAGAAGACGGCAGTGCCGGGGGCTCCTTTGTTGCCCACCCCCCACTCACATGCCTTGAACTGGGTCCCGTTGATTTCACAGATGTATGTCCAGCACGATATTTACGACCTGATATTTAAATATGTGGGGACCATGGAGGCAAGCGAGGTAGGTTCTCCATCATCATCATCCAGGATGGAAGCCCTGTTCTAAGCCTTTTAAGACATTTGAAGCTTCATTAAAATCTCTTGTTAGGATGCTGCCTTTAACAAAATCACAAGGAGCCTTCAAGATCTTCAGCAGAAGGATATTGGTGTGAAACCTGAGTTCAGGTAAGGGTTTGTGCTGCTGTGGCCGTGTCCTCAGGGGCTGGGGCACCGTTCGCCATCCCCCACCCCCACCTCCGAAGCAGCAGTGGCGGCACTGATTTGACATGGTTCAGACCGTGCAGCAGGGCAGTTATTTGTGACCAGAGATAAAGGGGCTGAGGTTGGCAGATGACTGTTTCGGAGCTGGCATGTTCCTGCACCTGTCTGCCAGCATCCGGTGAGTGGGAGCCAGAAGGGGTGGAGTCGTACACAGCTGGTCTCTGGGCAGGCATGCAGCTCACCCAGATGGGCCCTGCACACAGATGTCTCTCCTCACCTGCCAGTCTGAGGGACCGCTGCTTTAAGGGCATCTCCTTTTGGATTAAGTTTCATTTTATTACAAAAATGTCTAGGGACTTCTTTGGTGGTCCGGCGGTTAAGACTTCGTGCTTCCCTGCAGGGGGCACGGGGTTCGATCCCTGGTTGGGGAACTAAGATCCTGCATGCCGTGCAGCTCAGCCAAAAAGTAAAAAAAAAAAAAAAAAAAAAAAAAAAAAAAAAAAAAAAAAAAAAAAAAATCTAAACTGTTTATGTCTAAACTACCCCCCCCACCCCCTGCTGCCCATTGGCCTATTTCACTCTGGGGCTAAGGCTTGCTGATTTTTTTTCCCTAATTTTCTGGTGCAGCTACATCACCTGGCAGCTTGATTGGCACCTTGAAAGCTGCTGGGTTTTGCCAGTGACCCGAGTCAGATTACTTCTGAGTTTCTAGTTTTGTTTGTCTTTACTAACGGTTTGCTGTAAGAAATGTGAATCTGAGGTATGGGATTAGATCCGAGAAGGAGGGCCCTCACACCGTGGTCTTATGTGGTCACTTTCCAAATTATTTTGCAGCTTCAACATACCTCGTGCCAAGAGGGAGCTGGCTCAGCTGAACAGGTGCACGTCCCCACAGCAGAAGCTGGCTTGTTTGCGGAAGGTGGTGCAGCTGATCACCCAGTCTCCCAGCCAGAGAGGTGTGTGCTCGGTGAAGGGGCCTGCAGTGGGGTGGCTGCATACATCCAGCTGCAAACATCTGTTGAGAAGCAGTGCCATCTTAAAGGGTCATAGAGATGGGTGGATGTGCAGCAGAGCATTTCTGTGTGAGTGCCCCGGTGTCTGATCTGAGGAGTGGGTGCCTAGTAATGGGGGTCGGGGTGGAGGGTAGGTGAGGCATCTTTAGGGTGAGAAAATGCTGGTGGAGAAGCAGCCGCCTCAAAAACGAGCCAAACTGGTGATGGAAACATGGGGGTTCAGCTGTTAAGTTGTTCTCTCTAATTTTGTATACGTTTAAAACTATCCATTATAAAAAGTAAAAACAAAACAAGTTAAGAAAAAAGTAATGAGAAGGCAGATCTGTGTGGGCAGATAGGGGGTGATCTTTGAAGCGTATTATCAATGAATGAAATGAACAGGAGTGTGTATGGTACCCTTCCAGCAGCATTGCGGAAAGGGGGCGACTGTATATATATATATCCATATATACAATGGGGAGATCATAGACTGTCTGTGGACAGGTACGTGGGAAGCAACAGCAGTGGCCTCTGGGAAAGAAGTCTGGGTGGCAGGGATGGGAGAGATGTGCACGGTTTGCTCTTTTGTACTTTTTGAAATTTTAAATGTGTGAATGGATCACTTAAACAAAATTTTAATGAAAACAATAGAGTCAAGCTGCAGATCGGCATTAGACTCTGAGGTGTATAAAACAGAAATGATCCCAGGAGGAAAGAGGCTTTTGGCAGTGGCTCTGGCACACCTTCAGGTTGTATCCACCATTGCTGACTTCCTCGGGCTCTTCATCTGTCCCGGGAGGTCTGCTAGCAGTTTGCTGCTTCTGCACGTGTTCTGAGGATGCTAAGCATTCATTTCCCCTGGAGTCTGACATCTATTCAGGACACTAGAAAGGAAATTGTGCGATTGAATTTCTCCCTGATGTGTCATCTTCCTGGATTGTGGTTTTGTGGGTTGGATGGTGGTGGGGAGTTGATAACACTTGTCGGTCCATTTGAGTCCCAGGATGGCTTTGAACATGTGTTTCCCCCTTGCAGTTAACTTGGAGACCATGTGTGCTGATGATCTGCTATCAGTCCTGTTGTATTTGCTTGTGAAAACAGAGATCCCTAATTGGTAATAATTTTTGTTAAAATGCTTTTTCAAAATGGCAGCACTGTACTGGGGTGGTTTTAGTGTCGCTCTAGGAAACTGAGTGCCCCTTATGAGCCAGGTACTGCCCTGCTTTCTTCCTGCAAGGGGTGGCTGTCATTCCATGAACAGATGGGGAAACTGAGCCAGCGAGCTTACGTTTCTCATTCTGGAGCATGTGGCTAGTCAGTGGCTGAGCGGGAAGCAGACTCCAATTCTGTCTGGCTCCAAAGCCTGTCCTTTTCCCACAGAAATGCAGGTTCCCTGTATAACTACCAGCTTTCTAAAAACTAGCCCATTCCAGGAAAGTCGCAAGTAGCTTTACTTATTTTCCTAATTGTGCTCCCTCTAAATAAAGATCCAGGGACAAGCAGCCCTAGCTCCCGGGAGCTAACCGACTTGATGGTGAAGCCAATAGCATTGTTTCCGCCAAAGTGTTAGTTGGGTATACAACAATAAAACTTTTTCCTTCCTTCTGTTAGGATGGCAAATTTGAGTTATATCAAAAACTTCAGATTTAGCAGCTCAGCAAAAGATGAACTGGGATACTGCCTGACCTCAGTTGAGGCTGCAATTGAATATATTCGGCAGGGAAGCCTCTCCGTTAAGCCACCGGTAAGACCTCCCTCCTCTGCCCTTTCTTTGTGGGTGTCACGGCGTGTGTGATGGGGTTCTCAGGGTGGTGTGTGGGGGGGCAGTCAGAGATGCTCTCCCGAGAGAATGGGGCCTCAGCCCAGTGAGTGAACACCAGCCCCCCGTAGGTTGTGAAAGTTTGCGCGTTATCTTGTCTTTCACATTGTTGATCTGCTTCATTAATCCTCGTCATCCTCAAAAGCACACGGGCAGAAGGGGAAGCTAGAAGCGGTGAATTGGGGTATCCTGATCACGATGGGCAAGAGATGAGATTACTAACGTCTGCAGTTTTCAGGACTCAGTCTCCCTATTATTATTTTCTTGGTTGGTTGGTGAGCTTTGGCTAGTGGAGGCGATTATGTTCCCATGAGGACTGTGAGACTCTTGAACCAAGATTGCACTGCTGGCTTATTTCACTGCCCTACCAACCAGCAAAACATGACAGTACTCACAGAAATTGCAAAGTTGAAATCAATCGAATGAAGAGATTTCTGTATTAAAAACCAAGAGTCCTGGGACTTCCCTGGTGGCGCAGTGGTTAAGAATCTGCCTGCCAGTGCAGGGGACACGGGTTCAAGCCCTGGTCCAGGAAGATCCCACATGCTGCGGAGCAGCTAAGCCCATGCGCCACAACTACTGAGCCCGCATGCTGCAACTACTGAAGCCTGCGCGCCTAGAGCCCGTGCTCCGCAACAAGAGAAGCCACTGCCCCGCGATGAAGAGTAGCTCCCGCTCGCCACAATTAGAGAAAGCCCGCATGCAGCAACAAAGACCCAAGGCAGCCAAAACAAAAAAAAACAAAAAATCCCACCAAGAGTCCTGAGGATTGAACTTGATCTTAATTTTCCCCTGATGTTAGAAGCTCCCAAAGTAATAAGTTGAAACACGTGGAAAAGAACATAGGCCTGTTCAGACAGGAACGCTCCAGTACAAGCAGTTCCCTGAATTCATTTATTGTTAACATGTTTATGTATTTTCTAGTCTTTTTCCTTGCCATGTATACTTTACATAATTGAGACTGTATTGTAGATAGCCTTGTATATTTTTTCCCCAAAATGAATAGTCTATTTTTTTCTGATTAGAAAACTATTTGCTTATAAATAATATGTGAAATATAAAAAGTAGCAGTGAAGACAACAAAAGCCTCCCATAAACACACTAGTTGGGGATGACTTATTAACATTTTGGTATATGTCTTTTTTCTGCACTTATACAATTATATTTTTAACCAGAATTTGAGCTTATGCTGCAATTGCTGGCACATAGCCCAACAGTATCGTGGTGCTTGCTGAAGAATTAAGTTTTGCTCTGATTTGATTGCCCACACACATAAGCAGGTGAAATTAGAGGCTGTGCATCTCATCTCAGATGTGGCTGGCTGTGACTCTCGTGAAAAGTTGTTTCTAATTTAGGGGGAAATCATTAACATTCTAGAATGCACACATGTGTGTTCACAGGCACCTCTGCATACACACAGGTCTGCAGAGTCAGAAATGTCACTCGGGGCTTCCCTGGTGGTGCAGTGGTTAAGAATCCACCTGCCAAGGCAGGGGACACGGGTTCGAGCCCTGGTCTGGGAAGATCCCACATGCCGCGGGGCAACTAAGCCCGTGCGCCACAACTACTGAGCCTGCACTCTAGAGCCCACGAGCCGCAACTACTGAGCCTTGTGTGCATGTTGCAACTACTAAAGCCGGCACGCCTAGAGCCCGTGCCCTGCAACAGGAGAAGCCACAGCAATGAGAAGCCTGTGCACCGCAATGAAGAGTGGCCCCCGCAACTAGAGAAAGCCCGTGCCTAGCAACAAAGACCCAGTGCAGCCAAAAATAAAATAATAAATAGATAAATTTATAAAAAGAAAAGAAAAGAAAAGAAATGCCACTCACTTTGAGAGTTGGGCAGCAAGATTTCTTAGTTTGAATTGTCTTCTGTGAGGTTCTAGGAACACGTGTTGTTCCCATAGTGCCTGTGGAGGTTTTCCATCATGGCCCTGCCCTTCTGGTTCTTTCCCTCTGATGGGTCTCCCCTCCTGGACCCACTACCCTGCAGAGGACTTGCCTGATGCTCCTTGCTGGGGCCAGGGGTGCCCCTTGTCACCTGGAGGGAGGTGCCCACCTCTTGAAGGTGCTCCCGTCCCCTTGCTGCACCCATCCTGTACCACAACCATCCTGCTTTCTTTCTTTCTGTGGCATGTAGGCAGGAAGTCCAAGGCTTGAAGGCCTTTGGCCAGAGAGTAAAGAGGTGGTTGACCAAACACTAACAGTCAGCTTCTCACACATACTTTTCCTTCAGAAAATATTCCGAGTGGGATTGTGGCAGTGTTTGAGGGGTGGCCCCTCTTGTGCTGGTGTTGGTTTGAGTCCAGCCCTTGGGCAAGTCTGTTTGTCTCTCTGAGCCTCTGTCCCTCCTGTCTACACTGGGGATCGTGTTATGTATTTCACCCTTGCCAGGTGGTTGCGAGGCTCAAATGGCATATTTGAAAGTGCCTTTTCGAAGTGTGACGTGATACTGATGCCCTTCCTTGATCTGGCAACACCGGCATCTGGATGTCTCTGTTTCTTGGCTGTCTGGTGCATTCTGCGTGGATAGCCCCAAGGATGGCCGTTAGCTTGGGTGGGCAAGGGGGGGACACAGCCCAGTATGCCCGTCTTGTTTGGGCTGTCAGACCCTGGTCCTGCCCTCCCGGATTGGAGGGTGGTTGGTCCCCCTGGAATTGTGACAAGGTTGCATCATCCTTTCGGCTGGCCATGGAGCCCGAGCCTTGGGTCTTGAGTGGGTCAGGCCTGAGAGATGTCCTTTTACCTTTATGGACAGAGCAGGTGTTGTGGCTTCCTTGTCTTTTGTGATGCCAGCGTTGGGATTCCGTCTGTGGCATTGCCTGTGCCTTAGTGCAGTTCCATCTAGGAAAGTGCGAGGCCACGGCTGCTTGTTGGTATTGATAGAATTTCCCGGGGAAAGAGCCCAAGTGTATCTCCACACAGCAGGTGAGGTTTCTGAAAAGCATTAAGGACTAAGTGGTAGGAAATCAAATAATGTTTTACTGTTGACTCTTTATATACTATAATGTAGTTTCACAGAAATTTTCTCCCCAAGACATAATCATACTTGAGATGACCGTAAACATTCTTTAAGCATGTTCATTAATGAAGATTTGAGCTTTTTTGAAAATAACCATTACTGGGATGACTCTAGATTTACCTTTGTGGACAGAAAACAATGGAGAACCTTGAAAGGATCTCCACCCTTCTCTGCTCCAGCTTTGCAGGCCTTTCTCACATTACTGGGCTTCCAATAAATAGTATTTACTCTCTTCCCGAATAGGTCTTAGTTGATATGCTATCTCTGCTGGTTGCTCATTCTTCCCTGACCAGTCAGTCCTGGAAGACCTGCCTCTTTTCATCAGTGCCCTTCAAACAGTCACCTAAGTGGACGAAAGAGCCCCAAATTTACCTGAGCAATAAGGTCTTTGATGTTTCTCTGATTTACAGCTCAGCTGTAAATCCCTGAATAAAACAGGTTGATCGAGCCTTACACAGCATATACGGACTGGGAGCAAAGGTAGCTCCACGTCTGAGGGTTGGTGTTTGTTTGCCAAGACAACCCCATGAGGGCGGCTGGTGTGAGGGGCCCTGCTTGGCAGTGGGCCCCAGAAATGCTGCCAGCTCTGTCTTTAACTGGACCTCTTCGTCAGAACCTAGGGGGCCACAGAGAGGAATGTTCCCATAATTTTCTCAGGGTTTGGTGAGTTCTTCTGGCAGCAGCTGGCTAGAAACAATTCCATCTGTCTCCTACCAAGATTCTTTTTGAGGAAGTTAATTTGTTACCAATTTAGTCACAGGTGCTCAAGTGAGCATTGAAGTGTCTCACTAGAAATGATTTCATAGAGAAAGGGTACATTTTTAGATTTCTATAACCAGGTAAAAATTACCTGCACTGTGAAGACCTGAGTATTCTTGGGGTGGACCCCATATTTTATTGGACTTTGGGCCAGTGGCCGTGTTGTCTGATGTTTTAGTAAGTATGCTCAAAAGGCAGGACCCTTCTCTCTTTTGCTGGTTCACACTGGGAAGGGTAGACCAGCCTGTCACATGGTTCTCCTGTCTGTGGGCCCAGGTAACATGCAGCGGACAGGGCTCTGCAGGCATTGGGAAAGATGTTTTGAGAGGAGGGGGAGGCTGGGACAATCCAGGTTTCCACGTGGGGGATGGTGCTGTGTGCATGCCACATTTCACACTTAGAGATGCCACATTCCACACACACACACACACACACACACACACACACACACACACGGAGCCATCATGCTGCCCCCTCCCAGATTCCTGCCGGGAAGCTGTCATCAGAGCCCCACTTCCTGGAGAGGCAGACAGGGAGCCCCTCTCCCAGCCTTATGAGGGTCTGTTGTGCGACTCCCTGGGGGCGGGGAGAGGCAGTGCGGGTCCTGTTTTGTGGGAAACAGCAGGGATCGTTCCTGGGTCCTCTGTTTTCAAGGATCTGCACTGACAGCTCATGATGTGTGATAAAACGGATTGTCGGCTTTTCTTGCAGGAGTCCGAGGGATTTGGTGACAGATTGTTCCTTAAGCAGAGAATGAGCTTGCTGTCTCAGATGACCTCAACTCCCATTGACTGCTTGTTTCAGGTAAGACACGCAGAGGTCCTGCGGGCACAGATGTGTGAGGGGCTCTCCATCCTCCCACACCTCTGTAGAATCCATCAGGGTTGTCTGCGTAGTTCAATGCAGGAGTTCATTTTGTGCTCGAGGGAGTGATACGAATGCTGGATCAGCTTGGCTGCCCGTCTCCCCTGATGTGAGCTGCGCTGTAGCCCCACCGGGCAGCATAGCGAGGGCACCGGGCCCTGCGTGTGGAACCCTCTGCCCGGCTGTCCTCCTCTCCCCATTTGGCGAAACATGGCTGGTCCTTCCCAATCAGCTCAGTGGCACCTCACTGGCTGCTCTGCCAGAACTGATGCCTCTTCTTGATTCTGGGAGCCCTAGTTACAGATGTTTGTGTGAGTGTGCTGGGCTGGGAGCAAGGCACCTGGTGGTGGTCTGATCCTCAGGCACAGGCAGGTGGTTCCTTCCTCAGATCTGACCTACCGCTGGGAGGCTGGCGAGGTTCCCTATGAGGCAGCCGTCAGAGGGCCACCTGGGGCCAGGGTGGGTTCCATGGAGGACCCAGAGCTATGCACCCCTCAGAACATCTCACTCCCTGTGGGGAGTACATCCAGGCCTCACAGGGGTGAGCCCTGCAGGTTTGCTTGTTGATGGGGTCTTGTGGTAATTACAGCTGTTCTGCAAACCAAGGCTCTATTAGATTACAAGACAATTTGACCCTTTAATGAGGGGTCAAAATCTACACCAAGGCTCAGGATGTATTGCCCCCCTACTCCTGTTGCTCTGGAAAATTTGTCATATTGTTGTTTCTTTAGTTTTGGAAAAACCCTAACATTTATAAAAATAAAAGAGAGTAGGAACTCCTGTGTAGCCATCCTGTTTAATTTCTATCCCCCCGCCCCACTTTTCCCCATCCACCCAAATTATTTTGAAACAAGTCCCAGAGAGCAAATTGTTTCATCCATCCATACGTAGATGTGTGTTTCAGTAAGGATGCTCAGAAAATTCACACCTTAGAGAGCGAATAGTTCCTTCATATCAATAGTGCTTTTGATGTCACTTTTTAGCACATCGCATCAGGTAACCAGAAAGAAGTGGAAAGACTTCTGAGCCAGGAGGACCGAGATAAAGATGCCGTCCAAAAGATGTGTCACCCTCTGTGCTTCTGTGATGACTGTGAGAAACTCGTCTCAGGGTACGAGGGTCCTATGTGGGCTCAGCGCCAGGAAGGGGGAGACTCGGGGCCTGGGTGGAACTTTCCCACTTGTTTGCTGTGAGATTTGGAATAAGGAACTTATCCTCGCTGCACTCTGCTTCCTCTGCTGTGAAGTGGAGAGAGTAACGTCTGTCCCTTTGGAGAATCAGGTGGAATAAAGATTGTAAACATACCTGGCACCCTGCTCGGCTGGCTGCTTTACCAGGGAAGGTGGGCAGAGGGTGTGCCCCAGGCTCAGAAAATGGGTTTTAGGATGGGAGGACTGTCAGCTCCTGCCTGTAACCTTTCTGGTTTCCCCTTATCCTTATTGGGCTCTTTTGCTGGTTGTCAAGGCCTGGAGGGGTGGGTGGGGAGAGAGGCCCTGTAGAAGTCAGGGCTTCTGCTCTCTGGGACACGGTAGAGGAGACCCAGCTTGGATCATACCCGGAGATCTGTCTTCTTGTCCCAGGACCCTGGTGTATTTCTCTGTATCCTCTTTTTCTTTTAGGAGGCTGAATGACCCCTCCATTGTCACTCCATTCTCCAGAGACGACAGGGGTCATACACCGCTCCATGTGGCTGCGCTCTGCGGTATGTGGGTGGAGGGATGGGGCCGAGGGTGGCCCTGCAGAGAGGGTGGCTGCTGGGTCTCACTGTGTGGATGCTTGGTACTGCCCCTGGGCTGGTGGTCCAGCCAGGGAAGGCTTGAATCTGAACTATGAGAATGGCCTCAGAATTGGGGTTCTTATATTTCTCCTTTAAAAAATATAAGTTTACTGTCTTTATTTTTTTATTCTTTTTTTTAAACATTCTTTTCCAGTATGGTTCATCATAGGATATTGAATATAGTTCTCTGTGCTATACTGTCTTTTAAAGTGCACATGCAAAAAACAATGTGCACATTCAAGGTAGAAAACACAAACACAAACATCTGTAGTATCACCTGCCATCCTTCTGTCTCCCAGAGATCATTTTGATTCATGACTGTCTGAAATGTCAGCATGCTTGTGAGTGTGTGTGTATAAAATAGATGATGCTGTGAGGATCATACTTTTCTGTACGGTGCTTTTTTCACTCGGCGACACATAAGAACATTTCTCCATGTCAGTATTTTTTTACTAGTTGCACAATATTCCATCCTGTAGATTGATACAGCATGGACTCTTCTGTGGACGTCTAAGGCTCTTTTCTCCTACCTTCTGTGGCTGGGGGCGGGACTGGAGCCGGGTCCCCTCCAGGGGCTACCCCAGAGTGTTTGGAATCTGCAGAGTCTGACTTCACGTTAGCACTGGTTCCCCCCAAGCAGAAAAATGCCTCCCAGTGTGTCTCGTGCCAGGGGATGAGAGGGTGAAATAATGCCATGGCTTTGCTTGCAGGGTTTGGAAAGCCCGCTCTCTTCCCTTCTGTTCTGTAGGGCAGGCATCCCTCATCGACTTTCTGGTTTCTAAGGGCGCGGTGGTGAACGCTACAGACTACCATGGCTCCACCCCGCTCCATCTCGCGTGTCAGAAGGGCTGTCAGAGCGTGACGGTGAGCAGCTGGGCTCGGACGGGCTGGCTCTGCGCACGGCTTTGCAGGACTGTCCCCTCCTGTGTTCCACGCTGGCTCGGTCGGGCTGCAGGGAGGGCTGGGGTCTTAGGCACCTCGCTGAGGGTCTGCTGGGCAAAAGCTGTTAGGTGTAGATTTGAAATGTCATGGTAATATGGGGGAGGAAGGGTGGGGCTGTAGATTTTTTTTAATCTCTAAACTTTTCTTTTTTTGTATCATACTTTTGAATAATGAGATAGGATTTTCCTTCACCCACCCCCAAGATACTAGAAATATTTTAAATAGGGCCCTAAGATGGACTTCCCCGTAGACGTAACACCTACTGATGAGAAGACGGGCCAGAAACTAGAAAGGCAAAACTATTTTGCCAATCAGTGATGTTTCAATTTCAGCTTAAGTTGTTTGGTACATAAAGTGCCTCAGTTACTGCTAGTGATTGATGGGGGTTGTTTTTCTTTCCTTCTTTTATTCTATTTTTAACTTTTATTGGAGTAGAGTTGATTGTTTCACATGTTCAGCAAAGTGAATCAGTTTTACATAAACATATATCCATTCTTTTTTTTAGTAATTTCTAAACTTTTTATCAGGAAGGATGAGAGTGATGATAATATTTTTTGCTTTGGTTTTTTAAAATTTTAAATTATTTTTGTTTAAAAGTATAGTTGATTTACAGTGTGTTAGTTTCAGGTGTATAGCAAAGTGATTCAGATATATATGTGTGTGTGTGTGTATATATATATATAATGTATTTCTCTCTATATATATAATATATATTCCTTTTCAGATTATTTTCCATTGTAGGGTTGATATAATTTTAATTGTAGTGTAAGTAGATAAGGTTGAAAATGGAGACCAGCGACTTCCCGCTATGAGGCTCTAGGCCGTGCTCCTGAGGAAGCACGCGCCTGCACTGCCGGGCTTGCTGGTGCTCACTGCTCTCCCCTCTCCTTTGGAAGCTGCTGCTGCTGCACTACAAAGCCAGCTCCGAAGTGCAAGACAACAACGGCAACACCCCTCTGCACCTGGCCTGCACCTACGGCCACGAAGACGTAAGTGGTCCTTGCTGCGCCAAGGGCAGCCGTGTTTACTCTTTCTCACAGAGAAAAGTGAATTTCCAGTCGGTTGAATGTCGTATTTTATGTTGACAGTTATTGGAACATTTGGCATATAATGTTTTTAATTAAAAAATTTAAAAACACATTACAGATGCTGTATTGAAATAACAGAAATCTAAAGCATAATTGTCTTTTCCTGAAATGAAATCATGTGCATTCATCTCTGCTACCATCTGCTTCTTACCTTTCTTCATACTCAATTTTTACGTTTTATATTTTTAAAGAAATATCAAGGAATTTCATCATTTCCGTGTTTGCTTAATATTTAACTGTGTGTTTGTGTGTGTGTGTGTGTGTGTGTGTGTGTGTGTGTGTTATTTTTTTCCTAACCACCCTCTCTCACTTCTCTCCATGGTAATATCCAGGTAGATTTATACAGATGTGGGTTGAGCCTGGGTTAGGTGGTTGATGAGCGAAAATGAGATCATACCCTACACAATTTTATGCAGCTTATTTTCCTAACTTAATCATGGACATCCCATAGGTCAATAAATGTAGATCTAACCCGTTCTGTAATCGCTACACATAGTCTATGACGTGTGTTGTGTCAGGGTCCTTAAGACCACTCCCCAGTTCAGTGGTTCGCTAGGAGGGCTCACAGGATGAGCATATGGCTGTATGCACAGCTGTGATTTATTGCAGTAAAGGGACACAGAGCAAAATCAGCCAAAGGGAAGGTCCAGGGATGAAGTCCGGAGGAAACCAGGTGCCGGCTTCCAAGAGCATCTCCCTGTGGAGTCACTCAGGACAGCTTATTCCTCCAGTAATGAGTCGTTAACAACACGTGCAAAGTGTTTTCCTTCTGGGAAGCTCATTAGGGACTCAGTGCCCAAGATTTTGGTTGGAGGCTGGTCATGAGAACACCCTTTTGCCTAGAACATTTCAACATTCCAGACTCCCAGAAGGACAGCAGGTGTTCAGCATAAACCACTGTTGGACAAACTAGGCCCAGTGAGCCCCTCTCATCAGTCAGGGGACTGTGAGAACACTCCCCAAATCCAAGCTCCCAAGGAATATCGCAAGTCAAGGGGGCCAGCCTTGCAAGCAGGCCTTTCTGGGGTTGGCGTCTCAGGCCTGCTCTGGTGACTCCTTTCTGCACATGATGTGTGACAATTTATTCAGCCATTTCTTATTGATTGGCAGTTGGGTTCTTTAAAAACAAAACCAAAAACCATGTGTCCTGATCAGGTGATCTGGAACCCTGGAGGTCTAATGTTCTGTTATTGTATGTTTGCTTGGCAGATGGTGCCTTGATCGAATTGGGACGTGGGCCGAGGCTGCGGGCTGCACAGATCTGCCTGAGGCCGGGCGTGTGAGTTCACAGTGGCCTTTCCCATTCTGTTTGCAGTGTGTGAAGGCTCTGGTCTACTATGACGTGCAGTCCTGCAGACTAGATATTGGTAACGAGAAAGGAGACACTCCCCTGCACATTGCTGCCCGCTGGGGTTACCAAAGCATCATAGAGACGTTGCTACAGAACGGAGCGTCCACAGAGATCCAGAACAGGCTGAAGGAAACACCCCTCAAGTGTGCATTAAACTCAAAGGTAGCCTTTTCCATCTCGGAGCAGCAGTATGACTTTAAACAATATCAGCACCCGCAGCTTAGGTCTTGGCCGAGCTGTTCAAACTGTGCATTAGTCCCCAAGGCTAGAACTTGGCCGCATCTGCTCTGCTGCACTCGGGACCTGGTCGTTCATGGGTTTTACCTATTCATCTTATTTTTCATCTTAGTAGGCGATTTTCTCAGTGTCATGCCAGGAGCTGTTCCCAGCAGAGTTTGCCCCGGCCTCTGAGTGCTGCTAGTTTCTGGGCAAGTGGAGTGAGAGTAAATGGGACAGTGGCTCCGGCCGGGAAGAGCGGGGGCGGGGGGT